ATAAAGTTCATGACAATTACTCCGTTAAATGAAAAACAAAAGTACATACTAATGATCAATCATATTTAGATAGGTCGTGTAGTCCATGGTAGGTGAATGTTGAAGTCTATTGTTTTTTGTACATAAAGTTTAGGCTGCATGTGATTAATCTAAAGTGCTTCCATCACCTATTATGAACAACCTTTACTTGGAGTTATGTGAAATAATTGTGAAGCAGTCATTAATATTGATTTTGTGACCTGAAATTAAAAAGTGTTTTGCAATGAATGATGCTGGATTTCATTTTAGATTATTTGGTTTGGGATTTTCTATATGATTTAGTATTTTCGAGATGTGGTCTCTCTTTACTGTGACAAATGATAAGGTTTTCCGGATAACCATTAGCTAATAAGAAAGAATGTATATTTCGAAACTCATCCATCGATGTATCACTCGTGCATATTTTTCGTGCCCTTGAGAACAAACATTTCACTAGGGAACGTCTCTACTAAATGGGAACAAAACTGGTAAAATAAAGATATCGTCCACTCCATGTCTGTTTACGAAAAACAGATCTTGGAATCAATCCATCATCTCTCCTAGTCATAGTAATATCCAGCATACCGAGTTTCTTATTGGATTCTAGTTCGGAGGTCACTCGAATATTTGGATGAATTTGATTCAATAGAGTGATAAAGTTTTCAATAGATTTGCGATTATTACCAATGATAGGAGTATCATCTACATAACATTTACACAGCATAAATTCTCCAAGCATATCTTGCATTTGTTTCTCGAATTTCGACATGGAAACATCTACTATAAGGGGTGCAAGAGGGCTCCCCATCGCAACACCATCGATTTGTTTGTGCGCCTTTTCTTGGAAAATGAATCGAATATTTTTTGTACACATTAAGATGATGTCTCTGGTGTAAAGTTACAGGAAAAGGTAAGTTTACTATGTCATTGCAAATGAAATCAACAGTTTCATGAAGGGGAACATTGGTGAATAGAGATGTCATTTGAACACATAACCTTTTCCTTAATGTTCAAGGTGTCTAGCATATCTGTCAGATCAAATGAACTTTTTGCAGAATGACTTGATAATTAGTATTTTACAGGCGTAAGGACCTCTATAATTCATTTGAGACTTTATAGTATGAAGAATTCAACATGTCTAAGATGGGTCTCAGTGAGTTCTCACTTTAGTGGAACTTTGGTAGGCCATGCAGCCGAATAGTATGTGACCTAATAGCTTTGAGTTGTTTATAAAGTTACTTATTTACAAAAAACAAGTCATCAGTAAAATCTGAAACTGTCTATTGATCTACTTTTCTGATATGTATCCATATATATATATATCCATATAATATGTTTTGTTTAACAGTCTGTTCCCGTCGCCAAATTATTATGTACTCGTCGCCAAATTATTGTTATGCACTGGTCGAGAATTTAATAGTCCTGACGCAAGAAAGACGGAAATCAGAAGACCACTAAGTTTGCGATGATACTTCTATTTTCCAAAACACCAGGAGAATCAAAATGTCACACAAGTGTGTGAGAGCAAAAATATATATAATATATATATACATTGTTAAAGGAGACAGGTTCATCAAAGTGAAATGGTCACAGACTAAGAGAGCAACGGAAAGAGAGACCACTATATATATATATATATATATATATATATATGGATACAAATCATTTTCCACAAGCAGCACATTATCAGTAGCACTGTCCACCAGAAATTCGGACTGATCTTTGAGGATATCATTCATTTTATTTTGATAATCGGATTTATTCATAATGAAAACGCCTCCTCCCTTACCACATTTAAGGATAACAAGATTATCTTTTTCGAATAATTCCTGCGTTCAGAAATCGATAAGAAATGTCCACCAGTTTAACTTTAAACCAGTCTAGATTATCTTTACTAGAAGGAGCTAAATCAGAGATTTGCTCATATTGCCTTTCATACTATGACTGGACTTGCATTTTGTTTATTTTCATGGAAATAGTTTTGTACTTCAATCCATAAGATAATGCTTCCGACTGTAGTTGAGATAAAGTGCAGGTAGATAAATTGATTATATGCTTATGGATATCTTGAGGAAATTCTAAAATATGATTCGTGTCCTTCAAAGATTTTGATAATTTTTGTTTGGTGAAACTTATGGTCTTTTTTACCATATCACTGCAAAATACAGTGAATTTAATTCGACATACTAAAGATAAATTAACCATAACGGGAAATAGTCTTTGGTATGTTTCAATAAATTTTGAAAGTTTTTTCATTAATTTCATCAATTTCTAATTCAGCAAGATGCTGAAGGTTGGCGAGTGAATATTTTGACTTATTTTGACGTAGTGATTTGTAGTTCCAGTTGTGATAAAACTTTGATCGTTCACGCTGAATTACAATTGTACACCTCCGATTTAGAAGATGGTTTAGAAGTCTTATTGAAGAATATATATATATATATATCATGTCTTTTTACGGCTGATTTGTGTTCTAGGATTCTAGTTTGAAGAAGATGTCCACTTTGGCCTATGTAATGCCGATGTAAATGTTAAATTATTAGTAATAATTATTTTAGTATAACAGTAAACGTTTTATCCATCTGACCCTAGGGAAACAAAATATAATCCAGGGACAAAAGGTAAAAATAAATATTCCGCGACCATTCGCTCAACTAGGTCTCTCCATTACCTGTCCAATACACACTGTTGTACACCACTTTATCTCGACTTCTCATTAGCGTTACCAACAAAACCGCTTTATATATCAGAATTTTGACGTCCACTAACTCAGCGACAGCATCATTATCCCTGAACGGGCACTTTATTCCTCCTAAATCGAGAGTAACCGGTCATGAGATCTTCATTGCCTGCAGGCGGCGACATCGAATTCAACGGAAGAGGACGAGATACTTGATAACATAATGTTTATAAGCGATTTGGTACACACACATAGGGAAACGACATATACCATATGTCCAAATCGTCATTTGCACAGATCTTGCCCCTTGTGCTATTTCTGTCCTTCATAATGAGTTTCTTTGTCCTCTCTTTGTGTCAGAATACTTGTCCAAATCATCTCTTTGACTTCAAATTTTAACTTTCCTCAGTTTTGCATATTGTATCAATGAGCATTTATTTACATAATACTTGCAAATCGTGTCACAGGCACAACCCGCATTTACCCATGTATAGAATGATGTCTCAACTTTGACTTCAAATTGAATGTATCCAGGAAACTATGGAAAGCCAGTTAGACGTACTGGAAATTCAATTGCTTCATGTTTAAGACTCCTCATCAGTATATAGTCAAAATCCCAGTCAATATGGGTTCATATCTTATAACATTCAGCTAATGCAAGTAGAACCTGTTGGCATACTCTACAATTCTAACTTCTTCTTCCAACCGATAGTTTAAGGTGGAACACTAGAGAATTATATCTTCAAATTGACAGGAGTAAGGTTAGGTGAATCATTGAATTGAGCCCCATTATCTGAATTCCAATTGAGTTCCGCTTCTAGATTAGCTGTCGTGAATTCCATTCAACAACCAGTCACAGCAGATTTAAACGTGGGCAAATACGATTGGCACATAGATGGCTCCACTTTCCGAAAAACTCGAAAACAACCAATCAGAAGACTGTGTTTGTCTACTTGAATAAGCTATAATAATGTACATGAAATATATATAAATACCAGTTGATTCCCGTAATAAAATGATCTGTTGCTGGCCCTTGTCTTCTGTAGTTACATATGTAGTCAAGAAGGACAATATGTATGTTTCAAACCGTATACTACTAGCCACATCGAATTAATTCATCGTGACTACACAAAGTCATGAATTTACGCTTGTTTGCTTGATTGCTATTCATGGTCTCCATTAGAGACCTCACTTTCACCTTGATAGTTTACATGCGCAGAAAAAAACTATGGTGAACTTTTCCCACAAGCTGAACAAATATCAGATTCCTAACTAGTTTGAAACAACCGCTAATTTAAATTAGCGTGTTGCCAGTTTGTTCGAGAAGCTATTCATAAATTAGTTTGTTTCAATCGATTTATTTCTCTTCTGTGCGGCAAACTGAGCGCGCCTGCAATAAGCTGGATCCCTAAAGAGCTAGAATGCCATTCACGTTTACGATTACCTCAGTCTTATTGGCTAGCAAGTCATACTGTTTATTGTTAATGTGGATAAGTTTGGATTGATGTGAGTTGGTTAGGGTTGATTATCTAAAAGCCCCGGGTCTAAGTTTCTCTCTTTTCAGCATTTTTCAATAACGTTAATCTAGAGCATCGAAAAATGTGATGCGTCAGTTGCAAAATCCAATTTGTGTCACCCAGTGTAGCAATCAGAAGCGTTATTAATTGAACACCCGCATTATCCCACCCACTGTATTGGTTTGCGTTCCAGTTGTAGCATACGTCTTCAGACTTTAGCGTTGAAGTTCCAGCATCGATGGTGTTTTTTTTAACGAAGTGGGTTCTCCAGCCTCATGCCGCACCTTTCCTATTTTTTAGTCTTACAGCCAGCTAGGGTGAGGTAAAGGTTTACAGCGGTAACCAGTCGAACTATGGACGACATATATAGTTGGCAAGCATTCTACTGCTTAACCCCCGAAGCGAACTGCTAAAACAGAACGTAGTGAAACCCAAGTGAATAACTTCCAACTTGTATTGAGTTGTGTTTCCATTCTTCAAACAGTGGATCGTATCTTGCGAGAACGGTTTAACCAGGAGCTTAATCAGCCCGATAATCAATTTCAATGTTCCACACCACATGAAAGGCTTCAAAAACGATTGCAAAATATACAAAACTAGAGCAGTACGCAGGCATAAACAAAACAAGAGAACTGCCGTAGATTGAATTGGTTTCCATATTTAGGACTTTTTTAAGCAAATCAACAAATTGACATGTACCTTTTATCGTTGAATTATTAAGGATATGTAATTTGGCTTTGGTTTTCAATTTTGAATTTTTGTTGTTTTTAAAATCCTGTTTTTAGAATATTTGAACAACACTCTGATTTTCGTGATGCATTCACTGAATTTCGAAAGAATAAATTCGTTGACATTAAACATGATCCAGCAATGCAAGTTCACGGTCTACGTGTTTTAAGCATAATGGATAAATTGGTTACTCGACTGCCTAAGACAGATGATATTGAAAAACAGTTAATGATAATTGGAACTAAACATTGTCGATATGTTCCAACTATTGGACTTGTATCGGTAGGTCTATTCATTAAAATATTTTGTTGCTCTTTGTTGTTATTATCTATATGGCAGTGTCATATGACGGGTGAATTACAATGGAAAGCTCACCGAAGCGTTTTGAAGAGAATTATGGACTAGGAAAAGACTGTCTGCTTACTATCATCGATGATACTCCTAATTTTGGTGGACTGTATTATGCACCAGATAGTGCGTGGAGAGCGGGAAGGCTGAGATACCGTGGGCAGATACAAAGACCTTAGAAACTTTTGGTTTTTGCAAATGATGTATCTCTAATTTCAAACAAACCGGGTGCTTAGATCAGTAAACAAGGAACTTCGAATAAACAAGCACTATCATCGGAGGAAATTTAAACTAAAAAAACTCTTATCTAGGCAATATCATTTCAATTACGGGCATCATGGATGTGATTCCCAAAGTCAGGTAGGATTCAGATGGCAAAACACATGTGTTCATTTTTCCGCAATCGGTGGGAAAGTCTACAACAATCAGCAAAAAGAAGAAAATTGGAAATTTTATTACTTATATCAAGTCAGACAGTGTTTTTGTATGGTTCAGAGACGAAACATTACGGAAAGTATTCCTAACAAGACTGAATATTCAAATTGACGGCAGCTACCTGTCGTTGATGCTGAAGATCGGTTCAACAGAAAAAAATAAGCAGCAAATGGTTGTGGCCACTGGCCAACTGACATCCTTTTGACGTAAAAATATGTAGAGGAAAATGGTGAAGGATTTGTAGAAAGTTTAGGAACCAGCTGATCTGAAGCAGTAACTGTATTCAAGTAAATCGCCTGACAAGAGAGAAACACCATAAGCACCAACTGAAAATTGTTAATTGTATCGGCTTGAACGTCACATATAAACACATCTATATAATTGAAGTATTGTCGGTTTCAACAGATGAACACACCGAAAATCAAACAGACTACTCATCAATCTCAGGAAAGTAAAGACGTGGCCTGGTGTACGCCAAACCTAGGAGAGGAGCAGGTGTTGGCTGAGACTATAACTTAGTCAAAGCAAACCTCAAGATGAAGTTGAAAGCCTTCAAAGAAGTTGCCAATAATCATTAACTGAAGTTCTGCACTCGGAAACTCAAGTCTGAAATTACAGTGGACATTTACTGAAGCCATAAAAGCATAGTTGGAGAAACGGACGGTAAAAGCTAATATAATCCAGACGGACGGTGAAACAAAAATTGAAGTGGTGTAACAATAACGAATGGAGGAGATTAGTTTAGTTTAAGACTGAATAAAAGAGAGAAGAAGAGTACAAAGAAGTACAAAAGACAATTCAGTGACATTATGAACTGTGATATATTACTCTGCAGGTAAGAGATACATACCTCAGAAACTAATATCAAATAAGCTGGCCACTATTTAAAAAATTGATTTACACAGATAAGATCAATCAACGATAGCGTAGTGAACCTAATTACTAAACAGAGAGCAAAGAGAACAATAATTATTTTAACACTACAAAGGACTCTTCAACAGACTTTCTTCTTCAACTCTTCCAAAAATATTAACAAAAGGCACAAGACTGTTGACGAACATCTATCTTTCAACAGAAGCAAAAGACTTCAAGGAATCAGGTGAAATAGATGTCCCATTCAGAACCTCCGGAACTAAGAATAGTCAGCTTTAATTAAATACTACTGATTAAAGTATGTGGTATGTGCTGCTGAAAAGATTCTGTGAGTAGCACACTTTGAGTGTGATGTCTTCTGCACAAATATTGATTAGCAAAACGATGAATTAAGTTGCGAAGAGAATAAATGAGAGGTCTTTGTAAGACAATATGCAGGAAGAATGAGCACAAAAGAAGAGCATGCGCAAATAGTGATTCATTTTCTCCACCAGCGGTTGCACTGAAAAGCCCTCACAACACTTGTGACATCCCCAATCTACATGTTCACTGAAAGTAGTCAAAAGCTTAACGTAGGTACTTAAAAAAAGGAACTACACCCTCATAAGCCTGATTTTTGATAAAAAGAACGAATAGTTGGTTACTTGACAACTAAAAGTGCATGAAGAATTGACTCACTGAGCATCTCAGTGCTGAAAGAGAAGCAAATGTGTCATCTCAGTTAGAGACTATTCAGTGGTAAGTACCCATGACCTCACCCATTCAGAATGTAACTGAGGAATAATGGATTATCAGACGAATCCGGTGACTAAGCAAGCATTTGGATGAAAATCAACTGTCATATTCATAAATTATGATTTTCCCTAATTCATCATATGTATTGCTACTGTTAGGCTTTATCCCTGAGTTTTTGAATCATAAAAGTCACACCTAATCAGTAGAATCCTATAAATCCTGTAGGCAGTCGCTGATGGCGCGTCATATATCGCAAATCGAAAGAAATCGGCCAGTGATTCTCTGAATGCTAAGTAGGCTGTATATCATAGATTGAAGATCATAGGTTCAATCATTATTGAGTGCTCCTGATTAATATCATAGTACATTGATACATCCTGGTTCCTAGTCCGAATGATTGATTCTCCAAGTGACTGTGTGCTACAACGTAACGAAAAGTTTTTAGGTGAGATCTTTCCAAGAGCACCTAAGTGTTTTCATATAAAGCGGATGAAAACATTTGTTTCCCCGCATTTATTTAATTTTGTTATTTATATTGCCTAATTATTCAAATTGATAAAGTTGATTAAATCAGGTTTCACTTATTAAGTAAAAACATTTTCTTGTGACATATTTAATTAAAATCATGAGTGATATTTGGACGTGTTTTAACCAACATTTTCATTTAATTATTTAATTTAATTAATTGTGCGTCGGTAGCACAGTGGCTAGAATTCTTGCTGACCATGCACATGGTCCGAGGTTCGATCCTCTGCAGACGCACACCTGATATCTATGGTCGGCCTGCAAAATTTGGGCTACCGATATCCATGCTGAAAATTCCATACTTGTACCAAAAATACAGTGTGGAATCAAGCTGTAAATAAAAAATAAAAAAAAATATCGGCTGCTCAACAACTCTGCAAATGATCAAGATTTAATGCTTGTCGGAAACACTCCTGAACTTGAATCAGTTTTCAGTAACCCCAGTGATAAAGAAGGGTCAGCCTAGAGGTCAACAACGACATCTCTGAATAAAGAACACTGTGCGACACTATGTTCTCTTCAGAATAGAGAGCAATAAAAAAAACCCAGGCACAGATGTTTTAAAGATTTCCCATTAAAACAAGCCCTAGTGTCTTATCAGAGTATTCATCGAATCATCCCTTTGACTTATAGACCTCCTGACGCTGAATTTGCGGGAACTCCTTGAGCTTACATACCGACCTGTAATTTTATGTGCCGAACATTTATTATAATCATTTCTAAATATTTCATACATTTAGTCCACTTAATGAATTTGAACAAAGCAAGAACTACAGTCTTAGCAGAATAAAATGGTATCATCTTTTATTCCGTTGCCTTATCGTCAGCTGCTTATATGGCGAAGACATTATTAAATATATCTACAACAGCAATTTTAACATACTTGCACAGAGTTCAAAAATCAATCGATCAATATAGCCATACACAAGAAAATATATACATATATATATATATATATATATATATATATATATATATATCAATATTAAACACTATTCCTAACAATAATAATCATACACAATGGAAACTTTTAGCAATTCGCCTTCGGAAGAAAGAGAGGTGAAAATATCCAGTTTTCAGGGCAAAGAAGGACTGATAACCGCTCCTTTCTGGACGCATAACTCAGATTTCAGACGCTTGATGGAAATGACTTCAGTAAACTTAAGGAGATTTGAGCTCTTTTGCCTATTGATAATTCTGAACGACTTTTCAGCGTCTACCTCATGCCTCGTGTCGAGGAGATGCCTGGCGATGGCACTGTTTAAAGCATTTGTTTCCTTTAAATGTAAGCTTTTTGGTACAAGTTCAGAAAATCGTTGATATGCCCTTCTTTCTGTCCTTCCAATGTAACTGCTCCCGCAGATACATGTTAATTTCTATATACAGTAGGAGTTGTTAACATGTGAAGGATATCTATCGAATTTTGATTGCAGCAAAGAGCAGGTTGTTCGATAGGCGGGAACGAGCTTAGCTGTAGGATAGGCTATGGCTAGTGATGTACTCAGCCTTCCGTTGATCATCGCTGCAATGTTTTCACCTTTATAATCAAACTGAACGAAGACTGGATTTTCACTCACTGTGATTTATGTTACATTTGTAACTTCAGATCTTTCATACTTGTTGACGAACTTAAACTCCTCCTCTAGTTTCTCTAAAGAGCATATTCTCCTCGCTATATAGTACAGAGTCTTGACTAGACCACGTTTAAAGCTATTTGAACAAAAGCTTATAAAAATGCGAGTATTGTCCTTTCCATATGGGCTTTCGATAAATTGACTTTTGAAGACTAGAGTCTTCTAGGCGTCCCATGGCGATGTTAAGGAAGAGGAACTTTACGTCAATTTCGTGTTTCATAGTGAACTTAATATTGGCGTGTTCATCATTGAATAATCTTAGTAAGTGTGAAGCATGACTTTTATTTTTGCACACTATAAATAATTAATTTTTTGTTCGTGGACACTTCATTGTTAAATATCTGGCAATCATTTGAAAGGCCTGCGTATGACTCCCGGAGGACATACGTCGAAGTCTCTGAAAGTTGATTAGCCTATCTAAGATCAAGCGTGTACCTAGCAACCCAACTCTGTAAAACCAATTCGAACGCCTCTAAAATTTCAAACAACAAAGCCTTCTATAAACCTCCGAAACGAAGGAGGATTACTTATTTTTGGTACAAGTATTGAATTTTCAGCATGGATATCGGTAGCCTAAATTTTGCAGGCCGACCATAGTTATCAGGTGTGCGTCGGAAGGGGATCGAACTTCAGAGCATGTGCATGGTCGGTGAGAGTCCTAACCACTGTGCCATCAACGCACGCTTACATCAAAAAATTTTAAATAGTCTTTTGTAAACATTACTTTTATCCAGTTTTTTCTCAGTACTGATGCATAACACTTTCCCTTCATTTTCGTTTCCCTGTTTAGAGTGTTTCCGAACAGTTATGGGGTGCTATAGAACCAGTTCTGAAAGAAGAAGGCCTATGGTCAGATAATGTTGCTCAAACATGGATAACTGTATTAGACTATTTAACAAAAACTGTTCGATATGGTCTAGCCAAAACATTACGATCTACCACATGGACTTAAATAATCATTCAGTAAAATAAAACTTATTATCAAATCATTTATTTCCAAGAGGGAAGTACAAACATTAAAGAAACAGCTAACAGTTAGGGCCTCCTCAAAGTGAAAAAACGCTTATCTTCTGACAAGTGGCTTGTGATTACTATCCATAAACAACAGCTTGTGATTTAAATGCAGATTTCAGTATAGATAAGACCTATTTTTTACAAATCTTTAATGTATGTACATTATTATTATTATTACGTTTTAATCTCTGATCCAGCAATCTCCCTGGATGGATGCCTGCATTCCAAACGACTTTGAAAATCCTTATTTTAATTAAATATACATTTATGTTAGTGACGCTGTCAATGATTAACGAACAGTCTGCTTTGTCTTATTATTATTAATGATAACTGTAAAATAACTTCTGTTCATTTGCCGAATTCTCTTCTCCTTATGTAAATGTCGCCCTCACCTCTCCGAGGAGTAGACTTTTCACACACAGTATAAAGACTATCGAGATAAGTATCATAGCCAGTCTCTTCTCATGAAGACATTTATTAGCCTATGTAGAGTACTTTATGTATTTCTGTTTAGATGTGTTTTTTCTGCATGCACATTAAAATGTAATCACAGATTTATAATAGAGACGAATTTTAAAAAAATTATTGAAATCAGAAGAAAAAGTGAATTGATTGCTCACTTTTGACGGATTATGCGATGTGGTCGACTGAAGTTCCGATGAGAATCCGTGGTCGGTGACGACATATGCTAGCGGTCGCGCCATTTTCATCATTGAATTGTAAACGACATTCCCCTTGCAACCTGAACGTCACTGGTTCTGCCCCTTGTTGTTGACGCCATGGGTCTCAAACAAGAGCACAAACACGTGTACAGTATTCCCTAGTGGTATACCAGTGGTAGCCTAAATGAAGTTGGTTCTTTATCTACCTTGAGAATTGAGTGAGACTGTGTTCTTGCAACACAAGTAAATAAGAGGTACGAATACAAAAAGCCACCGTGATTTCATGTCACCGTGTACATGAAAGTGCAGGGCGAAGGCGATGAGTTACGATCGGAATTTTTTTTACACACAATTGAAACGACTTTTGTAGGGTTCCCTATAATCCCTGCCCAATTACACCTCGATGCCGCTTTTATCCTTAATTTTTTTGAAAGACATTGTCATTGAGCTTGCAGTCCACATAATATTACGACAGTGATTAGCGAAGGAGTTTAAATGAAGGACTTCCAGGTAGGCTCAATGCAGTATATTGCATGAACTGCCAGCAATAAAAATAACAGCTGTGCATGTTGTTAACATGTTAGCACTTGACAGCGACGGCAAATACTAAAATATCAAAGTTCTCATTCCAACAATTGTGAATCTGAAATTATTAAAGTATATATGCATATATGCATCATTAAGCCATAAATTGATCACAAACCAGCGAAAATTTCTTAAGCGTTACATTATATTAGGCTGTATCCGACGAAATAGGGATAGAGAGTTTTCACCAGCATACCCTATTGATATATGTGTATGCGGACCTGCGAACACTAGCCTACTTTCAGCCAGAAGACATGAGGACTGAGTGGTCCACAACTGGAGGGTATACGGATACTATCCTGCACACCAGTTTCTCGAGGTGTATAAAACTTCAGGTGAGGCACTTTTACTTGGTCGTAGGTTCACGGAATCAGTCCACGTGAGGTGTAGCTCAAAGCTGTGAAATTAAACACATAAATGTCAAGTCAAATCAAAACGCCTAAACAATAACAAAAGGAATGAAACATTACCAGCTCTGGGAGCAGGCATAAAGCACAAAACCACTAAAATGCGCTTACTCCAGCAGGTGTTAGCAGATATGGCAGCAACAAAAACATGAGGACAGCGTCACAGTATGTGACAGGCAAAGTGTAGTCGTAGTGATAAAATGATCGCTAACCGAATGCGTGGTTTGCGTTCAGTTCACAGCCGACGACTTCCTACAATCCACACAGTTTAATATTCAGTATTAAGCCAGGAAAAGAAAGAAGGTTAGGTGTAGGGCTTTGAGTCCCACGGCATGAAGGAAGAAAATGCGGTTAGTGAAACTTCAGACCTTTAGGTCTGAAAGCTCATGCTTCCTTAGGGATGCAAAAAAAGAGAAAAAACGTCAGTGAACCGAAAAAGGCCAACACGACGTTCATCGGGGATAAAAAACTAAACAATAGAGCTCAGTATTTTCGGTGAAATTAAGTTAGTTTAGAAATTAGAAATGTGAATGTGGAAATTTGTGACGTCAAATAAATCACTCCTGAAAGTAAGATTAGTGAAGCGTGTACAATACAACTGTTTTTAAAAATGCCAGAACGTCCAGCAAAATCGAAACATTCGGATTACAGATGAACAGATGAACTATTTGATAAAGTTAACTTTAATATTACAAAAAAGCTGTTGAGAATATCATAGAGTTATAAAAATGAAATCAACAGGCCTAACGTCGGCAATTTCGGGCACTGTGAAACATCGTTATGAAAAGAAGTCGTCAAGTCAATCAGGGGTCCCATACTAACACACCTAGCGAATTCAGAGCATAAAAACAATAAAAGAATGTCACCCTTTAGATTTCTATACAAGGTAGCACCTCACTAAGTTTATACGTCTTCAACGACTGAGGCTGCTGAGATAGATACCAAGTGCATGTGTTGGGATAAAGTTTGTTCAGTCCCACCTCAGTCCCAACGTAGAATACTTATCTTTCCAGGCGAAACTGGATAACTGTATTTAGAAAGATCAAGAATAAAGCTATAGGTGATTCAGAATACATGCTGATTTTCAAAAATTACTTCGCATTTGTGCAACAAATTTTGAATGACCTGGTCACACACGTACTAGTCATTATCAAAATATTAAAGCGTGAACGCGCGTCACAACTTAATTACTTTACTTTACTTCGGCTATCTCCTACGGGAGGATGAGCCGGCTTCATGAACATCTCGAATCATCGCTGCCCAGGCGCGGCGATCTGATGCAAGGTTTTGCGACAGGGTTATCCAATTCTTGTTCCAGAGACGCAGTCCGTAGACGCTTTGGAGTCCCAGGCACTCCATATCAGCCTTGACTGTACCAAGCCATGTTTTCAGCTTTCCACCCCTGCGACATCGCCAAGATGGAAATGGCGAGGGATTTAGAACTGATTTGACCAGATCGTCATCTGGTCGGCGCAGAACATGGCCAAACCACCGAAGGCGACGTTGTTGGACCAGTACTGGAATTCGGTTGATTTTGTAGAGAGTTCATGAAGTTTCATGGGAATCGGGTACGAGTGATGTCCCCAGCATCGCTCGGCCTTTTGTTTGAGAGTGCAGCTCTAGCCTTTACACAACCAAGTGTGACCTACAAGGCAGTAGGAGTGGAGTAGGGAGTCCACTATCCATTTGCAGTCAGTGACCGGAGTCCGGTTCATACGCCTTTTTGAATGGGGCCAGATATCCAGGGCATCCAATAAGCCCCTTGTCCATACGTCTGCCGGTGAGCTTCATACGCAAGTCGTTGGAGGTTTGGAATCAGGGTTAAGACATCTCCCCTAGACTGTCATACGATGGACAGTCAACTCGGTGAAGAGCGCTGGGCATCCGCTCTTGCCCTCTCACTTCGGTGAAAAAAAACACCTCCGCCACGTGAAGGCAGTGAGTAGGACTTCCTCAGGAGAGGCTATGTAAGACGCCCGGACATATGGGAGCATTTCAAGAGGTTTCACAACAAACATGGGTCGAATTAAAGGTCATATTCTAACTGTTCTAGTAACAAAACAAAGTTTACCAAGAAAGGTTTATTGTAATGAAGAACTACATTTGTATTGGTTTGAACTTCCTAATCGCTAAAGCTTCGAAAACGTTTTGGATACTCGCATCAAACATGTTTTTATGGGTATTGCCACTCATAATCATATCAAGTTATCCACACAACTCTCTTGCTTCATTTATATGCATGAGTAAATTGATAAGAAATTTGAATAAAAAGTTGATATAAGATAAAGTACATTCAGAAATAATTATTATGCGCGTTATCAATCAAATACAATCAGATAGGAAATAAGACAAGTGCTTTAATAGTTAAATAAGTAGCTTGTTAGAATGTTCTGATGTACGTGAATTGAAAGAATTTTAAGATTATTTATTATTCTCCTCTGACTTGAATGGTGGTAATAACATCTTCCATATCTTTGGTATTGGCGATGAGTCATTCCCATTGAACCAGGATTCAGTAATCAATCTTTCTCTATCCACCTACCTAGAAAACTTTCAAGAATTTTAACCCTCTCCCGCCTTATTGTGTCGTTGTGTATTGATGCATGCATAGTGACTGCTGTTATTTTTCTAAATTATTTATCTTCGCGGATGGGGCCAACCATTCTTACCTTAGCTAAATTCTTGTATTCTGATAAGCTCATTACTCCCTATCTACTAGTGTGACATATGTAGTTGAACTCACTCACGGTCATTGCCAGGTATCTGGCTTCTTATATTATTTTGTCTAATTGTTAAACAGGGTTTTTCAGCCAACACAGCTTTTCTCTGAGTCAGTTTTTAGTTTTGAATGCCATCCTAATTCCTGCTTTATTGAGAATCCTACGTGAATTCGCAAATGTGCCCTCTTTATATGGTGTTCTGTGCGATAAAGAATGCATCAGGCATGAAACCTTTAACTTATTAAATAGTCAGTAGAACCAATGGATCTCGACTTTCCAACTCACATCATTTATAGGTACAACGTTTTCTCTCTCATCATTCTGTATTTATTTTTGTTATGTGCTGTTTTGTTTCTTTCTTCCTTGCAAACTCTACTTTAAACATTCTTGTTCGTTCTTTCACACTGTGTATATCTCGACCATTTTGCTATCGCTTACGCCAGTAAATATGTTAGTAGTATCTACTTTTCTAACACCTTCAAACACTTTAATTTTGGCTTTGCTACCGACATACTAATATGTTGTTGAGATAACTTTAATCAATGTAGAACTTTATTTATTGTTAATGTAAAAACTGGATGCAATATTGTAGTAAAATGCTGAGAATTCCATTCTGTATCACAAGTACTGATTTGGAATAAGGCTTATGTTATGTTATGTTACAGCTGTGGTTGACCCTTGACCGGAATTTATTCAGCAGCTTTTCCACCCATTTGACATAAATACATGAATGAACAGCCTGGTTGATGACTTCATCAGAAAGAAAATTTTCTTCGCTGCGACTTTCTTTTTAATAACTGTAGATGCCTTATATTCTCCAATTTATTCATTATTAGGTTCACAATTATTTTTGTTGTGCTTTTGACCTTTTTGGAAATTAGTAATGAATTTTATTGGATAGTTGTTTCACTTCATCGTTTAGATTTTCAGTTGTAATCCTTAGTGCCATTTCTTGGTTTGTTATACACTAAACTAAGCCTACCTATACAAATACATAAGGGATGAGATGAATTGAAGTCTAAATATCCAATATTAGATAGAATGCGTTGGCTTTTTATGAACGCTAGTGTGTAGTCTACCTTTTTCTATTCGTTTTATTTTACAATCTAAGTTACCTAATTGTTTCCGCTCATTTTCCGGTTTAAATTTGAATATTATCCACTTCCCTAATGATTTTATATGCGTCAAGAAGCTACAGATATATTCCATTTTCAACATAGAA